TGAGTAGGTATTTCTGATCGAGTGACAACAGACCCGTGTGGCTGTTTTTCACCATTTTTGTATTTTTTAAGTTTTAATAATGTAAAAAATGTTACAATCATACAAGTAATAAGTGTTCAAACAGATGGTACCAATTAAAATTACGTTGTTTTAATTAACCAAAATTAAGAGATCTCTAGTACATCAACCTCAACATTTTTTTTTTTCTTTTTGTTACATGGTGGTAAATAATTGGAATGTGAATTCATATGAAAGAACTTCTCACAGACTAATCTCGATTAACATTTGCAATACATACTTACATTCATGTATATATTTATCTTCAATGATAAAGTAGTTTAAAAGAATACTAAACAAAATAAAATGATAAAGCAGTTTTTAAAAGACCAAATAACTTAATTGCATAAAAGATATCAAGATACCAACTTATAAAAATTTATACTTAATAAACCAAATAACCAATAAAATTGAGAAATCATATGTACACTAAATTTTATCTAGACAAATATTTCTAAGGATACCAACTTAATTGGGTGTTTGTGATCTTATCTAAAAATTTTCCCTGAGTCCTTCTGATTAATTTGCATCTAGGTCCCGTCGATGTATATTTTTTGGTTATCCTCATGCTATAAAAGGTTGGAAACTTTAAGATTTGGATACACATGAAATTTTCATTTTCCGAGATGTCATCTTTCATGAAAATCATTTTCCTTACATTCCCGAGCTTACTGCTCCGGAATTCCCACCGGGACGTGATTGCACCTCAACCTTATCATAGCTCGATTCCACTGTTATGGAGAGCCCATTGGGCTCAGTCGGCCCGGCGGATCCTCCACAGACCCATAACCCTGCTGACACCAGACACTCTTTCGAGCCACCTACAACCTGGCCAATCATGTCCAACCCATCTGATTTGAACACGCTGGTGCCCATACTCGCATAACAGGCTCCTCCCACTTCGACTGAGCACACCACTCAGACGACCATGGCTTTACCAGAGCCTCCGACTGAGCTCTCCACTCCGACGCCCCCAATTGAGCTACCAGCTAGCCCCACTGCTCCTCCCGAACCGCATCATCTGCGATGACCATCTCGCCCACGTAACCCACCTGCCTGCCTCGACGATTACCATTGTTACTCGGCTATGCCGACCCCCTCTTGTCTCGTACCCACTTCATTGAATTTTTTAGGTATAGTCTATCCACTCGAGCCTTTTGTCAATTATAATGGTTTCTCTCAGTCTCACTTGGCCTTCCTAGCTGCACTTGATTGTGAGGTTGAGCCCAGGTCCTACTCAGCCGCTATAAAGGATACTCGCTGGCGTGATGCGATTAATGCCGAAATTCATGCTCTTGAAGGCAATGGCACCTGGACGATCGAACCTCTCCCTCTCGGCAAAAACCCATTGGTTGTAAGTGGGTGTACAAGATTAAACGACACTCTGATATTAGCATTGAGCACTTCAAGACCCGATTGGTAGCTAAGGGTTTTACACAAATCGAGGGCCTCAACTTTCATGAGACTTTTGCCCTGGTGACAAAAATGATGATCGTTCGATGCCTCCTTTGGCTGAGAACTGGAGTCTTCACCAAATGGATGTGAACAACGCCTTCCTTCACGATGATTTGGAGGAAGAGATCTACATGCGACTTCCTCGAGGATACAATTCTTCGTCCTCTAATTTAATATGTAGACTTCGCAAGTCTCTTTATGGTTTGCGACAAGCCTCACGTAATTGGTTTGCTGAATTTGCCTCGACGCTCCATACTTATGGCTTTCAACAGTCACATGCTGATTATTCGTTTTTCACTTTAAATTCGGGTGTCGATATCTTAGTGGTCTTCGTTTATAATGATGATCTCATTATTGTTGGTAATAATTCAGTTCGTTGCTCGAGTTTTAAATCTTATCTTGCTACATGTTTTAAGATCAAGGATTTGAGGGCGCTGAAGCATTTTTTGGGCATCGAGATCATCCACACCAACGAGGGTATGTTTCTTTCCCAGCGAAAGTATACGCTGGAGATCTTATATGATTGCGGCCTTATAGCCGCGAAGCCGACAACTTTCCCATGGAACAGCGGGCTCGACTCGCGAATTCCATCACTCCCTTGCTGACAAACCCGACGCAATTTCGTCGACTAGTAGACCACCTTCTCTATCTAACCATCACGCGTCTTAAGTTGTGCTACTCAGTCCATTTACTCGCACAATTCATGCAATAGCCGAGGGAGAGCCATTGGGATGCCACCTTACGCATTAATCGCTACCTGAAGCATAGTTCGAGATAAGGCATCCTACTCCGATGACTGACTTCATTAGAGTTAATTGGATATTGTGACTCTGACTGGGCCAGTTGTCCCCTCACGCGGCGTTCCGCTACAAGCTTCTTCATCACCTTTGGCGGTTGCCCTCTTTCTTGGTGCACTAAGAAGCAAACAATTGTTTCTCGCTCGTCTGCCGAAGCAGAGTATCGTTCAATGGCAGTCACCGCAAGCGAGCTTATATGGCTTCGTAGTTTTCTTTCTTCGCTTGGTATTCATCTGCTCGTCGAAAATCAATCAACCCTTCATATATCGGCCAACTCATTTCACCACGAGCACACAAAACATATCAAGATTGACTGTCATTTTGTTCAGGAGCGCATTCAATTTGGTGAACTAGTTGTCGAGTACGTTCCCACTCGCCTTTAGCTTGCCGACATCTTCACTAAAGCCCTCGGACGTGATCGCTTTCGTTTTCTACTCCGCAAGTTGAGCATTTGTGATCTTCATGCTCCAACTTGAGAGAGAGTATTCGGGATATCATTCGAGATTTACGTGATCCTTTTTCGATAAGATCAAATTTATATATTTATGGTCTTCCTTATATATTAGGTTAGTCTTGTATATTAGGTAGATTTTTTGGGAGAAAGATACTCTTCTATTATATATATATCCACACTTTTGTAACTCTTGAATGTAGAAATCAATTTACACAATTCTCTTATTTAGTAATATTAATACCTTTTAAGCATACTTATATATATATATATATATATATATATATATATAAATGACGCCGTCTTCACGAAAATACATACATATATAACCTATATTGCCACCCTAGGACAAGACACCTCAACTCCCATGTATAATTTTCCACTAATACATAATATCTCACCAAGAACTATTAACTTTTGAAAAGGACTTGAGCCTAACAGTCTAAAGTACATGCATTATTGAGCTTTTTTTAAAATAATTTATGTATGTGGTCCGAGTTTTTTTTATGTTCATCCATTTTTGGAAAATCATGTTTGCCCGAAATTTTCATTTAAAAGTAGGATGCATCTGCTGGAGCTTTTTTCAGTTGCTTGGCTTTAATGCCATGTCACAACCATAAAAAGGTCATAGCAGTAAATGGTAGTTAATGGTACACCTGAGTAATGACCTTGTAATTAAAGTGCACAACTAATTTTTAGCTTTTCAAGATGCAATGTAATTAATGATTTTATGTAAACTGGTTTAGCTAACAGTCAAATTTGACAAATAAAATAATTGACATTTAATCAAATTTATGTTAGTCGGTAATTGACATTTATGGTTTGTAATTTTGAAAATACACTTTCAACATAAATGATTTCACGTTCATTTAACATTATTACTCATTATTTCATATGATCCCACTATCTATCTAATCATATTTATATAACAAGATCAAAAAAAGGTTAGTCCAAGAATCTCATGCCTTAAATGTGTTAATATGTTTGTTGTAACTTGTAAAACACCCCTCTCCACCTAAATTTGATGTTATAACAAGTCAAATTGGTCTTAACTGTGGAGTATAAACACGTGATGTAGTGACGTTCTTGCAAATGATCCAACCTACCATTGTTTTTTTTTTTTTTTTTTTTTTTTTTTNTGAGAATAATACATACGTATGTTGTTTTTGCTAAACAAAAATACATATTAGTATTTAACTTGGACGCATAATTTATGAGACGCCCCTTGTAGTATTTGCATATTATAGCATGCTTAACAATTACTTATTAATTCATATCTTTATCAATAATGCATATTTGTATTTTAATTTTAGATACATAATTGTATGGGATGCATGTCCTTTGAATATTTAAACATTAACATGCTTAATTAACAGTTAATCAGCTATATCTTTAACAAAAATGCATTTTAGTATTTTAACTTGGGTGCATAGACATCCCTCCTAGTATCTACACTAGTGCAATTCCTTTACTCAACGCGTACAATACGAGTGTACACCTAATTTACTTGTTTCAATTGAATGTTTCGATCATACGAGTATCCTATAAACTGAAGTGCAAGGTCAGTTCTTACATGTTAAAACTAAAAACTAAAAGCAAAATTACAAACTAAAAGCGAAAAAGATAATAGCTGAGGCGAGTGTTGCTCTTTCCGCAAAAGTCATATGCTAGTTCTACTATGTCCTATTTATAGGACTTCCAGTACAGAAGGGGAAAGACAACACTCATCTGCCACTTGCCCCGACTAATCCGTTGGTGTCACACAACTGATAATGGTGAGTGAGTCTCCCAACAAGGATTTTTTGCATCCACGAGAACTCAAACCCGAGATCTTGCTTAAGAGCATTAAGCTTACCAGTTGAACCAACCCTACTAGTTAATTTAAACTACCTAAAATAAAAGTATTAAAAAATAGTAATTATATCGTAACTCGTTAATAAACTTTGAGATTTCGATTCAACATGATTAGGTCAATAGTCGTAATTTTCTCTCTGAAAAATCATGATATTTTGGAAATTTACTGATTTTTCTTTTACTATTGATAATTCAAAGTACGGGGCCTAATTCCAGCCCGAATTGCATACAGTTTCGAAAATTAATCTGAATATCTTCACTTATAAGCTCACACCGAACAAATTACTCCGACAAATACAGACGCAACACCACCGGCGGCTTCTTCCTCTCCGTCGCCACCACCAAATATGTATCCAC